TCGAAACATGTTCAAACATTCATGCATTCCGACCATTAATTATCCTCAGGTTCCTGAAGATGACCAGTTATTGGTCGAAACATGTTCAAACATTCATGCATTCCGACCATTATTTATCCTCAGGTTCCTGAAGATGGCCAGTTATTAATCGAAACATGCTCAAACATTCATGCATTCCGACCATTAATTATCCTCAGGTTCCTGAAGATGACCAGTTATTGATCGAAACATGTTCAAACATTCATGCATTCCGACCATTAATTATCCTCAGGTTCCTGAAGATGACCAGTTATTGATCGAAACATGCTCAAACGCTGTATCAGTGAACCACTGTAACAACACGTAGGCGTGGGTTATGGGAGGATAATATTAAACTGAATGTATCCAGGATATAGCCGGCTTTTGTGAACTCGGGAATGAACCTTATGGTTCCATGGCATGGGAGGGGATTTCTTGACTAACTCATCGACTGTTGGCTACTCAAATAAACTGCGCGGTGGAGTTTGAGTTGATCAGGCGATTTGCTGGTTACGAAATCATTCGGCTGTGCGTGTGGGTGTCGGGTTCAGTAAACGCGCTTTAAGGGATTCGTTGTAAAGCGGACTGTTAAAAGTAAACACTTTAAGGAATTTGCCTCGGGGGGGTGGGGTGGAGGCTGTGATTACTGTCAACGTTTCGTCCTTCGTAAATTACTTACTCACCTGTGACAAGATTGACATTTTCGTAATGATTTTTGAAACTTGTTCTGGATTATATATTTCTTATGCCCCCCTGTAGGGAACTCGACCCAATCATCATAAATTTGAAGATGACTGCCTTCTGAGTTGTTGCGCCGTGTAGTCTGGTAGAAGTTTTAACGACGTTTCGGAGATCCTCGCTGACTCCATCACCAGGGCGATTATCACACTGATGATGGAGTCAGCCTCAGCGAAAATCTCAAATCCTACACACTATAAATTTGTTAACTTTAGAAGGCAGTGAACTGATACCGTGTGGTTTGTACCCGAGATAAGACGTGGCTGGGTAGTAGAACGGTACTTCAGAGAACATTTATAATCAGTAGGCCTTCGGTAATGCGAGTATATTTTTAAACTGTTGGTCCAGTGTTTATCTTATTAGGTAAATATTAAGGGATTTTGTTATCGTAAGGAATGCATCAAAGTCTAGAGTTACAGTAGATAATGACAAGATATGTCACGAAACTCTTGGCATCATATTTGAGAAGTAACTTCTATTTTAATGCCATAATTGAGCTCTCCTTCAAATTGTATTTTTTGGTGTGGGCGATCTACGTCATAGGCTGTCGGGCTTATTTTAATCTTGGTTTGTGTTGGGCCATTATAACATTTCACGTTAATCTCAAGACCGTAGTTTGATGCATTCTTAGGTAAATGAGGTATGCAATGCAAGGGAAAGTAATTTCTGACTCTGTAATGTGGTCTGTACGCGTACGACTGGCTTTGGAAGATGAACATTGCGGTAGAATCATCGTACGAACCCTTCTAGGTCGAAGGTCAAAGGTATTTCACATCTAGGTGCTGATTTAGAGAAATGAAACGTGTAAATTCATGGCGAGGAACTTCACTATGTGTTCTCTTCACAGACTTTTATATCGATGAGGTTGGTATCGTCGTGGGCATGTATCACGCACCGAACGGATGAGAAATACGTATAAAATTTTGTTTGGGAAATCTGAACGGAAGAGATCACTTCGGTGGTCTGCGCGTATGTGTGTCTGTCTGTGATATTAAAAATGGTAAAATAAACGGGGACAAGAGGGCGTGTGGCCCAGGACAGTTAATGGCGTTGGGCTTTTGTGAGCACGTTAATGAATTCTGTGGTTCCGTAGACTGGTTCACATAATAGGGACGTTTTTTTAAAAAAAAATGCCGGGGTGAGTCCTTCGTGTGAACTTGGGCGACTGTGTTGTCTTGTCTAGGACTCTGTTCCAGCCACGAGGAGGTTTCAAAGAGACACTGAATCCCGTTTTGCGTAAAGAGCATTCCTCTGCTCGGGGCAGGGATTGGTTCTATTCAAGTGGGAGGAATAACATGATTGCAGGTGAGAGAGAGAGAGAGAGAGCGAGCTTTGTGTGACCTGACTGAAGGTATAGTCCCTTGAACCAAGCTGTTTGTGACGCTCGTTGGTTCGAAGCCGTGTTCATCCGGGAAGCTTAAGGCTTTGACGGGGATGTTCTTTTGTTAAATCTTATGTGGTACCGCCTGATTCGACTTCTAATGGTTAAGTGAAGTGTTTTCTTCGCGGTACGGTCTGGATTCGTAAATATTATGAAGACGAGCTTCGGCTTCAAAGGGTTAACCAGCTGATTTTCGTAATGGTGAGGTGAAGGGTTTTCTTCGCGGCACGGTCTGGATTCGTAAATATTATGAAGACGAGCTTCGGCTTCAAAGGGTTAACGAACAGTCGACCGTAACATACTGTCAGAGACCACCGCGGCCTCGAAACATCACAAGCAGAGTCCATCGACGAAATTAAAATAATAATACCGATAACAGAAACGTAAACACTTAGGAATACAATGATGGAGTCAATTCAGTATGGTAAATATTTCCCGCATTGTTTTCTTTTGAAAAGCCTGCTAATTGCGGATGTTACGTCATCGAGGGCGAGCGTTCATGTTAACGCTTTAAAAAGAAACTATAAATAATAAGTCTTCGTCTTACTTTCATGCTTCCGTAGTTGTATTTTATCCGATCGGTTCTGTTGCCTTCCGGTGTATGGAGTACCGCAGAATAACTAAGGTAAGAAAGAAGGCATTTAATATTTCGTTTTTCACTGTTAGCCAGCGTAAACACAGTTAACATGAATGTTCTCCCTCTGTAGTCAGAAAGCCCAGATGATGAATACCGTTAGGTGCCACTGATCTCGTTGACGTCACAGTCTCAAAATATCTTAATTGTTTGGCAATTGTGCGAACTGGGAGTCCTATTTTGTAGCATGTTATTATGATCTGTTAATGAGGTCATGTGGTTGGTTGTAGCTGATAATTTAATTATATGTTATGTTCTAAGAGAATTTAAGGTTCTCTAAAGGTTTGTGACAATTGATAAGATCGGTTCTGAATACCAGGTTTGTACACTAGCCTCAAGGTCACCAGAGGGTCCTGTAACTTCCTGTGCGTTTAATATGTCTCAGGCAGGAATACGAGAAGTTATGAATTTCCTGTCTTTAAGGTCTGCCCCTTCAACCAGTCGTCCTCCTGTCCTCTTTTCCCCATCAGACTGGCTGGGTTCTGGTTTGTGACTAACCATGGCCATTCAATCTCACGTCGAATTTGTAGTACTCAACAAATCTTATGGGTAGATGCTAATGTTATGTTGTTTTGAAATGACGATAATAACTGATTCATCTTTTCTTATCATTCAGTTCTGTTATATTCATATTAATCCTTTAAATACCAGTGGTAACTATATATACCATCTGCTTCAGCAGTCAGTATCTCTGTATTTACATTTATATATAAATATATACTTCTAATAAAAAGTTGTCAGTTGAACCACGGTTCCGGAGAATTTGACGTAAATACGTCTATACGGAAAGGAAGTTTATATATTGGCTTTATTATAAATATTTCCTTTATACATGCTTTACAATTGAGTAAATTTTGATTAAGACATTGCTTATTTAACTTGAATTAGTTACGCTTAAGATGGGTCTGTGGTTATTATTATTATTATTATTATTAAGTTTTCTGTCTTACGACAGGTCCATTGCTCGTGGATGAATGTAATGTAAAGTAATGTATTTTAATGTAATGTAACGTTTCCTAGGTAACAACAATGCCGAGTAAACACGATGGAACACTTGTTACACTTTTTCGCCGAATTACCCTTCTTTATAGACGTATTTACGTCAATAAATGGTTTTGTCAAGATTTTTATTAAATGTGTAATGGAAGATTGTTGATAAAGACGAGTGCTTTCTTACGTGTTGCAGGGGTTCTGGATATGACAGCCACGGAGAACACGATCCGGTTCAGCGGTCATACGCTGGACAAGGCAACGAAGGCGAAGGTTACACTGGAGAATTACTACAGCAACCTCATAGCTCAGCACATTGAGCGAAAGCAGAGGTATGATCCAGACTCTCATTACTAAAGAAAATGAGAGGTTTCAATATTTATCTCACATTCTGTCATCACCAATGAAATTTTAGTTATACAGAATACATTTAGCATATTCTGTATAATTTTTTTTTATTTCAGGGAATGCGTCATTGTGTGTCGAATGTCTTCCTTTTTTTGTGAATCTTCAATATTCCGTGCAGAGTATTTTATTGGTGTCATAACTTTGCTTTTTGACGTCAATTTCTGTAGAACTGGGCCTCTCAGTTTTGTCTGTGTTCCAGCCAGTTCTTGTGACATCACAAACATATGAATTGCAGTCCCTATTCGTACAATGGACACCGCCATCACATACAGTTTTTCTTCTCCTTTCCTTTCCCCATTCTCATATAGAAAATAATGTAACTGTACGACCAGCTGTATGAACTCCAACCTGTTGCCTGGTCTGTTGATATCCTAATACTTAGTCTGTATCAGTAACAGACTGTACTTGCAGATTTATCCAGTGACTTAACGACCCCTGCCGGGTAGTTTGTTAGTTAACCCAGTCTGCTCTTCTGGTAGTGTCGATGAAACACGATCTGATTGGTGGTACCATTTACAGCTGTAATTTTACATCCATTATGAGCCGGGATAGCTCAGTCAGTATAGTGACTAGCTACGGGCTGGACGGCCGGGGTTCGATCCCCGACGGGGGCAGAGGATTTTTCCTCTAGCCTCTGCGTCCAGACCGGCTCTGGGGCCCACCCAGCCTCCTCTACAATGGGTATCGGGAACCTTTCCCAGGGGTAAAGCCGGACGGGGCGTGATGCTGACCACTCACCCACATCTAGTGCTGACGTCAAGGAAGAGAGGAGCTATACCTCCACTTCCCCCAAGCGACTATGGCATGTAGCGGGACAAACTTAGCTTAACTTAGATTGTCTCCGTTACTGAATTGATACTGTTGTATATAACATTACAGCATCTAGGAACACGTATCTTCGTATATTAACATAACAGATGTTGGTAGTGTTAATTAATAATGGTTGATTCTTGCATTTCTTTGTTTCAGGTTGGCGAAGTTGGAAGAATCTCTTAAAGATGAGGGCCTGACAGAGGCACAGAAGCAGGAGAAAAGACAGCAGCACGCGCAGAAGGAGACTGAGTTCCTGAGGCTGAAGAGATCGAGATTGGGCGTCGAGGACTTTGAGCCCCTGAAAGTGATAGGACGGGGGGCATTTGGCGAGGTGCGGCTGGTGCAGAAGAAGGACACGGGACACGTCTATGCCATGAAGATCCTCCGTAAGGCCGACATGCTGGAGAAGGAGCAGGTCGCCCATGTGCGGGCGGAAAGGGACGTGCTAGTGGAAGCCGATCACCAGTGGGTAGTCAAGATGTACTACAGTTTTCAGGATCCCATCAACCTGTATCTCATCATGGAGTTCTTGCCAGGTGGTGAGTGAAATTTCACTGCAACGATGTTTAAAGTTGTAATAAATACACGTTGATTGGTCAGTTTTCATGAAAATCAGAATGAGCAGCAGGTCATTGGAGATCTGTGCAGTTTGACTGAAAACGGTTCACTCATTGACAGCAACAGACCCAAAATATTGACAAATGCCAGTCATTTTATGGTCCTGAAACGTTTCGTACGATGACACATCTTTGACACGCGTGTGTCTTTGGTAAAGTAGAAAATGACAATATAGTGACTTGAAAAACATTTTGGTTTCGTTAAGTGGTTTTCTTGAGGCACGAATTTGGATCGTGACACGTGACATTTTGTGTAAGATGCATCCATTTCACTGAACTCTGATAATTGTAAGATTTAAAAAAGTCCAGCATTTTCTGATTTTGTAATTTGTTAGGCTGTTACTTCAACAAATGCAGGGAAGTTCATGCGTCATGTAAGATTTGAGGTTTTCACAGCGGTGAGTATGAAGATTTCCGTCTTCCGGGTTGTTGCGCTGTGTAGTCTGGTCGATGTTAACCAACGTTTTAGAGGTCATCATATCATATTCATCGCCCTGATGACGGAGGCAGTACGGCCTCTGAAACGTTGGTAAACATCGACCAGACTACACAGCGCAACAACCCAGAAGACGGAAATCTTCATGTATCATGCTGTCCGCACGTTTCCTTTCTGAAAGTATAAAACCAGTATTGATTAAATTTGTTGCTGTTATTTCTGACTGTTTTGTCCGATATCTGTATTGTCATCACGTTTGCAACATTGGTTTATGCCCGTTATAAATCAATATAATGGCGCTGGAGTTCACACAGTAGCTGACACATTTAGAAGATGAGTGTACTTATAATGAAATTAGTAAGGAGTGTACATCCTACATTACCAGCAATATGATACATTATTCTGATTCTTATTTGCATATTTTATCTTCACTGTACCACTTTTGTCTGCGTACGTGAAGTTGGCGCTTAGTTTTGTGACGAAATGAAATCTGTCTTCAAATCGGCTGGAAGTGAAGTAGAAAAAATCAAGATTAAAAAACAGCGTTTCTGTTTCAGGGGACATGATGACACTGTTGATGAAGAAGGACACCCTATCTGAAGAATGTACGCAGTTCTACATAGCAGAAACGGCGCTGGCCATTGACTCTATACACAAACTCGGATTTATCCATAGGTAAGTTCAGTCAGTGTAGTGCCTGACCGTAGAGTTGATTACAAGGGTTTGATCCCTGACAAGGACAAAGCATCGCTGAGCCTTCTATCCATTCATCCTTTCCCCATGGGGTAATGAACTGCCAAGGTGCGATACTGACCACTTGCCCTCATCTAATGCTCCCGCAAAACACCTCTATTACAGGGCTGAAGTTAGGGATCTTGACATTGACCCAGATGCAGCCCCATCTCTCCCCATTTCATCATATCTGGCCCTGATTGGCCAATTTCCATAACATTGCGATATAAACCAGCTATTTCCTGACCTTCGTCACTTCAGCCCTGATGATGGAGGTGATAACAATCCGTTGAGATGTTGGCAATTCAGCTACAAGGTGCTGGCACCAAAAAGCTTTGTTCAAGATCAATTATAGATCATTGTGGAAGATGAAAATCAGTTATGTTGTCTGTACAGGGACATCAAACCGGATAACCTGCTATTGGATGCACGAGGACACATTAAGCTCTCTGATTTTGGGCTCTGCACCGGTCTCAAGAAGTCTCATCGTACAGACTTTTACCGTGATCTCAGCCAAGCTAAACCCTCTGACTTCAGTAAGTACTGCGCTTAAAAAATTAATTAACATGCCAGTACATTTGTTTGGAAGTATTAATCCTGTTAAGCTGCACCGCAATACTGTCTTCTGGAAGCACCATTGTATTACATTAATGTACGTAGGGCAGTCAAAAAGTTCCCGGAATCGTGGTATAGCACTAATAGTAGGACATATGGCAACGCTTACCTAATCACCTTCAAAGTACGACCCTTGCGCGCACACACACTTGCTCCATCGATCCTGCCATTGTTGGAAGCATCGGCGGAAGGCTTCGTTTGGAATCTTCCTGAGTTCGGCCGTCGCATTCGACACATCACCGGTTGTGCAGCAATTCCTCGCCGAGAAAAGCATTCCCGTTGTCACCCAACCACCATACTCTCCGGATCTCGCTCCGAGTGACTTCTGGCTGTTCCCTACTCTGAAAATGGGCCTCAAGGCAACCATGGAGGACATCAAATCGAATGCAACGGCCGAATTCCGGAAGATTCCAAACGAAGCCTTCCGCCGGTGCTTCCAACAATGGCAGGATCGATGGAGCAAGTGTGTGTGCGCGCAAGGGTCGTACTTTGAAGGTGATTAGGTAAGCGTTGCCATATGTCCTACTATTAGTGCTATACCACAATTCCGGGAACTTTTTGACTGCCTCTCGTATGTTGTTTTATTACAACCATCCAAACTATCTAATTAACTAACTCCCTGGTAGTAGAACCCACAGGTCCAACACCAAAGCACGCCACCGGCCAAGATACTGAGCCAACTCCATCCATTTACCATCCTCACAGCTGATCTCCCTAAGATCCATCTTGATATTATCCTCCCGTCTCCTTCGTCTGCCTAGTGGTAATTTTCCAGGATTCCAACAAATTCTGTATGCACCCATTGCCTCCCTATGCATGCTACATATAAAGCCCACCAGAGACTTCTATTTTTCACTATCCTCACTTTGCTAGGTGACCCGTACAATTCACGCAGCTCCTCGTTAGGTGGTATTCTAAATTGTAAATGGTGGTTGAAGTGGAATAACTTTCTGATGAAATCAAAATACTCTCCGAATGAAATGTACGCAACAACTGTCACATGGTTTGTACACGTTACTATATTACAGCATCGAGCCCGATGGACAGTAAGAGACGGGCTGAAAGCTGGAAGAAAAACAGGCGGGCTCTGGCATATAGCACAGTTGGCACTCCTGACTATATAGCACCAGAAGTGTTCTTGCAGACAGGCTACGGGCCAGCATGTGACTGGTGGAGTCTCGGTGTCATAATGTATGAAATGCTTATTGGTAAGTTATTTGTCGTGTGCTTTTTCCAAAGACAGGAATGCTCCGATATATTCAGTAAATAAGTAGGTAAAATTGAAAACTGCTATGGGACCATTTAAATGTGACTGGATGCCGCGTGGGCTGTGAAGCCAAGTGGCGGCTCTGGTTTGCCAGTGTACCAAAATATTTTTTTTTGTAGCAATGAGACTTGTCAAAATAAAATTTAATAGGAGTGTGCTTATTTGGGAGTCGCACTGATATTAGGTACAGTTACTGTACATAGACACATTATTTTCACACAAGATATTTCCCTTGTTCTGCGCAAGGATCACCTAATAATCAGGAAACCTAACGTAGCTAAACATACAAGATAAAAAAAGTTGCCTTTCTCCATCCTTTATTTTGAGATTGAAACAGCAAATTATTAGATTGAAGAGTCTTAATTTACTAATCTAATTGCAGTATATTTGCTAAATTTACCATGTTTCGCCTTGAATATATTAGTAATAGTATGTCAAATTATTTTTGCACAATTAAAATGTGGTGTGTGCCTGAATGCAGTATGTAGTATAACAAAAAATAATATTTTTTTTTCAGGATATCCGCCATTTTGTAGCGAAAATCCACAGGAAACATATCGTAAAGTTATGAATTGGCGCGAAACATTAACGTTCCCACCGGAGGTTCCCATTTCCGAAGAGGCAAAGGAAACGATAATGCGATTTTGTTGTGAGGCTGAGCGGCGTTTGGGTTCCCAGAGAGGCATGGATGAATTAAAACTTGCACCTTTCTTTCGTGGCGTAGACTGGGACCACATTCGTGAGCGTCCTGCTGCTATTCCTGTCGAAGTGCGCTCTATAGACGATACTTCTAATTTTGACGACTTCCCTGACGTTAAACTTGAAATACGTAAGTTTACTGCAGACATTTTGTTCAAACTAATGTAAGTAACTCATCATTATATTTGGGTTGTAACATCATGTGGACTTGTAAGCAGGTACCAGCATTTCAGAGGAACCTACTGCCTCCTCTGTCTATCGGAATATCAGCATTGGGTAACATGTTTCTAAAAATTGAGATATATCACTATAACTGGATATGGTCCTCAACATATAAATTACCCAGTAATAATAGCATTTGTCTAATTAACATGTGTACTTCATCCGTTACCCTCAACACTGGTATTGAATTGCTCGAGACTTCATCACTTCAAAATCTGGATTTTCTACCTTTCATAACAAACATGGATTGTGGAAGCTTCTGTCGATGTTTATAGTCTTCTTCTGTTTCTTGACCGTTACTTTGGTCTTCCGGTGGCTAATATTTTCTTCCATTCTTCTTCATTTTCCCATCCTTCTGAAGGTAGTTTCCACTCTTTCAATTAAAAATTAAATTAAATCCGTGGCGTAACAGATCCAGAGAGCCATAGCCGACTAGCTTGACTGCTGGCCTCACGTTCACATGCCTAAGCAGAGGTGAACGATCATCCAACCAGATACAGGGTGACGTGTGGTCAGCACGACGAACCCCCAGCCATCGCTAGCTTTCCTGACCGGATTACGCTACTCATTGTAGCTCCCCAATTTCCTCACGATGCTGTGTTGGCACTGATCGAAATCTCATGAGAAATTTCTTTCCCCGAGACTCGAACCAGCGCGCATTCCGTATCGCCGGTCCAAAGCATGATGCCTCAGACCGCGCGGCTATGGCGTTCCACTCTTTCATGGTTCTTGTAATTCTGTCTTGTAATTCAGACTTTCTGAAAGGCTTCACTTAAGGAATCTAAGTGCTTAGTACCAGCGTTTGTTACATTTTCATTTTTTTTGTCAATCTCCTAAAAGAATTTAAGTTTATGAAGCTTGGTTTGTATGAAATATAGGTTACATTTTGAGTCATCACCTTATCTTTTTTCATGTTTTTACTATCTTTCTTTCTTTCTTTTTAGTACCACAGTGCTAGATTTTGTGAACAGGACATTCTTCAGCATACAAGTGCAAATGTTTCAAATTCTGATGATAGAAAAAGCTTGGGACACAAAGTGTTGCTCCACTGCATCAGCATGGGCTCTGTGTGCGTCTGTTGACATGTAAATCTAATATTTAATTTGTTTATGGTAGTGATTGATTTTGGGATAAAGTTAAAGTAACGTTGTCTAGACAGTTTTTGCGTATTAATATTTCTGTCGCCTGATCGTTACAGCTGGTGCGCCGCTACCCCAAGATGGAGAAGTGATCTATAAGGACTGGGTGTTTATCAACTACACATTCAAGAGATTTGAGGGGCTGACACAGCGAGGAACTCCAACTAAGAAGTAGTCTCAACTCTGTAGTTACTTATGTAATGTTAAATCTCTGGCATCATGTGCTACACTCTACAAAGTATGGTAACAAATGTCACCAAGATGCCCATATAGGCAAGAAGTTGGTCCGCCAAGTAAACGTAGGCTGGCGGCTGCAGCTTTTCCCTGTCAAGATGCACTCGGTAACACTTCCCAATGCAAACTTGTAAGATAATTACAGTTGATACTATAGGAACAGTGATATAAACCAGTCCACATAAATATGTCCAAATAAATATGCGAACATATATTTAGACAACATTTTTAATCAGAAAGTTAATTTTGTATTTATTTTGAAACTTAAGAAGTAATAATTTAATGATAGGTTTGACAGGTGTTATAGCTCAGAGTTAGAAATAAGAGCAGTTTGAATCGTAGTTAAATTATTGATTTTAATGTGTGCTGGTTTCTGCGTCATGTTTTATTCTTTATCGGCCTGATGTCCGATTGAAGTTATAATGGGTGAGAGGGACCTTGTCTCACGCACTCTGCACCATTTTAGCGTTGTTAGCTCAGTCATTGCTGTTTATTCACCAGTATCGCAAAACAGTACGTTCAGTACAAGTAACAAAAACACTTATAGGCACTCGGGTTAACGAACTTAGAATTTTTGTATTTTAAATTAGTAAATAACTCGGTGGAGTGGAAGTAGGTTCTATTTCCATCTACGTATATTTTATTTGACTAAAATAAACAGTTGTCATTTAAGATCTTCTCTAAGTAAATTAAAATGAAAAGCACGTTTTCTCAGTCTTGACATCTCCAAATATTGTCATCGTAGGAATTCTCTATTTAATTATGTAGAAAGAGAAATTCAAACTTTATTGTCTGTTTTATATGTCACTTCGAGAATACTTATTTTGTTTTCTGGGGTGCTTAACAGCTTCTTATTGGAAGTTTGCATTGTTCGGAAAGATGTGCAAATGGGGTAGTTCCAGGGAACTGGCGTGAATTGAAACATATCATGCCAAGACCAGAACTCTGCAGAGACCAGTAAATTTGAAGATGATGATCGTTATGTGATAGGTGTAGGAAATTGGCATGTGTATTTGGAAACGTTTCCCATCATTATCTGTGTTCATGGATGAGCATATGTTTTTTTCTAAGGCTTTGACATAAAATGTCATTGGCCTAGCATTCTCGTGGAGGTAGAACGCTAGGTAGGAAGCTTTGAGGAACTTTGTGTTGTTTGGGCAGATTAGAAAGGAATACTGGTATGAAGGTTTGCCATGTGTCTTCGCTTGTATTAAATATTTTTGCTTGTGATGGAAATGATCGATGTATTGTTGTCAAACCGCGCTTCAAAAGTGCCGGGTGGTTTGGTCAAGTTTGTCGTTAAAGAAACCAAGTCTCCTGTTACGTAGCTTGTTGTTTGCTGATCGGGTCGTACGTGCAAATGCCAGACTGTCCACTTTATGTCTTGAACCGATGTGATGTCATGTGACTGTAAGTAACTTGCACATGCGTGTGGGTCTGTGAGTGAGTGGGTTTGAATGCTCTCTACGTTCTTCTGTATTCACAGACGCCCAGGTGATAATTATTGTGCTCTTGTTAGCTTGTGTTCTTGTGGTATGAATTTTGTATTTGGTACAGGATTACACCACTCCTTTTTATTATTTATTGCGATTTATGTTTTGGCTTTTCACTGTATTTACTTATAGTTTATTGTACATATTCTTAGTACAACTACACAACCACAGTCAAACTTATGAGTATGTAAAGCAAATCTGTGTCTTTGGATGGAGCTTCTTCATTATGTACACATGGTAGAAATGTAGAGATTGAAGTAGTGCCAATATTAAGTTATTGCTGACAAACAGTAGGATTTCATGTGCTATCAAACACAGACGTAAACTACATTTGGAGTTTTGTATTTAACTTTTTTTTTGTTCGAAGAGTATCTTTCTGGCTGTACAATGTAATTATGTTTGGTAAATGACATTAGTGCCTGTACAAAATCTGTGTATAGCAAAGTATATTATTAATTTGTTTGTTTTCTTAAATCATTTTATGAATGAAATGTGTAATTTATTTTATAAAATTCTAATGAGAGCATGAATTGCCACAAAACAGTCATTTTATCCATGTTAGTATTACTTCCTTTCCTTTTCCCACCTTTTTGAGTATCCTGCTCATACCCGTGACTTAACTAAGACAGCTATCCCAGTAAGCACAAATCATTGGTAGCTTGGTATTTGCCTGGATTGACTGTTCTAATGGGGACGGATAAATTATCTGCAATGCCAGTTTTTTTATTTCCTAATTCTTGGTTTATTTGCTTAAGCTTTCAATAGGTAAGATTGTGTCATGTTAAATGATACTGTGTGTAATGAATTGGTAGGAATGTGAAAGGAAGGGGACATGGTCTAATATGAGATGTGTTGGAAATGAGAAAGATCATAAAATATGTGTCAGGGTAGCCAGTCTGTGGACCGAGATTTGATAGAATCTTCTGAATATGAAGCAGGAGTGCTAATCAGTAAAGCATAATTTTTAGTGCCAGGTGTGAGAAACTAAAACATGCCTGTTGGACCAGTGTCAGATGGAGATGTCAGTGTGGTAAGCCTGGAGTACGCGTATGATATGAATCAGCTGTAAAACATGCCTGACATTATGACATGAAATATTACATCTTGTAGAAGTGTGATTTCAGTGATGCTGTACTCTGCTTTGTCCAACAAGATGGAAGGTTATCTATAATTTTATAATGTTGGTGACATTGTGGAATACACTGTTTTAAGCTGTTGTGTTGTCAGATTGTTTGGGTGCCTGGTGGTATTGTTTGGAAGTAATCTGTGATCAAATATGGAGGATTGTTATCGTGTGGAAATCGGTGGTACGAAGTTTGCTTTGTGTTGTTAGTGCAGTCTTCTGAGGAGATTTTTACAGAGGACAGATAAATCTAAGAGCGAAAATAATGGATCCGGCACTTTTAAGGGAGCGAGAGCTCTTCAAAAGGAGAGCTTTAGCAACACCAACGTAAGTTATGGCCTTTCAGGTTAAGTAAAAATAGTGTTATTTTCTACAGTGCCTTGTCTAGGTTAAATTTGGTGTAGCTTTTCATTTAGTTATTTTAATGGGCCAGCAGTTGGCCTACTCCTTGATTGATTGATGATGAAAAATTGTTTAAAAATAACTCATTTAGAGAATTTATGCAGATAATAGAAAAGGAGAACAATCTCGTAATAGTCGTTCAAAAGTTGTTATATTAATGACATTTCTGTTGTACTGAACTCTGCGGATAGCATGTTTCAGTATTTTACACTGCATATTTACAAGCTGTCAGGACAGCTGTGAGTAACTAAATTTTTTTATCCCAGGACACTAAAGCCTAATTGTTCTGAATTTCAGCTTTATCATTTTATTTATGTTCTCTTTAGTGTAGAGAAGAGGAAGAAAGATACAGAACAGTCACAGAAGGATGAATCCTTCAAGAAAAAATCAAAATCACCATCATCATCCTCGGCTGGACCCAAACTTGATGTTGTTAAGTAAGTCAGACAGCTGTTGGAATTGAACTATGTTAATACCAATGACTTATACTTTTAGAGATAAATTTAAATACGTAATAGTACTTGTTATTCAAGAGAAGCAAGTGTGAATGCTTTTGTTTGGCAAGTATATCACAAACTTTTTGTTATCTGTGGAATGCATACAGTAAGCGAAAATGGTTAAAAAAAACTTTTTGAGTATCATACCTGGTGTTATTTACTATTTTCCTTATGCCAAATTAGTTGAATATTGGAAATAATGCTAGAGAGTTGGATTCGCATGTCCATCATTTTCATTCTGCAAGATGCTGAATAATGTAAATGTAACTGTTACTTTAATCCAGATAATTTTTTTCATTTCATGAGTTTGGTGCTTAGAATTCTGTGACATCTTTGTCACTATTCATTGTTAATGTAATTTTCAGTTATAAAACTATGAGCGGCAGTTCACAATACAAGTTTGGAGTTCTTGCCAAGATTGTCAAATACATGAGATCAAGACATCAGGAAGGTGATGATCATCCGTTGTCTTTGGATGAAATTTTAGATGAAACTAACCAGTTGGATGTGGGTTCAAAAGTAAAACAGGTCAGTGTTAAATGCGGTAGAACTGCCATACAACTAATACTGGCATCTTCACTGCTTTGAGAATGTCAAGTCTCATTTCCTATTTTAAAGTTCTTTCCACTGAACTGTGATTTAGCACAGGTTTAAGTGACTTAGTTGTATTAGGTTCTGTTAAGATTGTTTAATGATTTCAGTGGCTGTTGACAGAGGCATTAGTAAATAATCCTAAGATTGAAGTCAGTACTGAAGGAAAGTTTATTTTCAAAGCATCTTACAAAATAAAAGATAAGAAAAGTTTATTGCGGTTGCTGAAACAGCAAGATTTGAAGGGTCTTGGAGGAATCTTACTGGAAGATGTTCAAGAATCTCTACCGCATTGCGACAAAGCAATGAAGGTAATTGTATTATCAACATCAACTTCTTCACTACTGTCAGAACCTAATATCTAGTATTTATTTTCTTCGTACTATCATGTTACACAATGCCCGGGATGTCGCTGATTGTAATCCTTTTTGGTTTTGAATTGTCTAATATTACTCTTAACTTTCTTGTTATAAATTAACATGTATATTTATGTTTTTGATTCTGTGTTGATCCTTTGAATCAAATTTACGTAGGTCCATTCTGTTGTTTGTCATCTTTGTCTTTGTCAGCGGGATGAGTAATTTGTTCTGTCTCATAAAATCCAGCATGTATAGTTACTTTTGCTGGGCTTGTAATCCTGGGGTCCCGGGTTCAATTCCCGGTGGTTCCCGGATTTATAACTCGTGTTGGGCAAGGCCGTGGTCCAGGTTTTAAGGAGTTTTCCTCCGGGACATCCCCAGTTTCTCCGTGGTATCCCAACAATTACTCCATTTTCGTCGTCATTTTATACTAAGCACACGGAAGAAGGCAGCGGCAAAACACTTCTGGATCATTTGCCTAGGAAACATATGAACAAAGGGATCTTGTCCATAATGTCACCAGGGGTCGGCTCAGGAAAAAAAATAGCTACTTTCGCAAGCTGCGTTTGCAAAAAATCACTTTGGTATTTACTGCCAATAGGATTTGTACCACATCAGGACTTCCTGCATACTCTTATGTGAATATATGTACAGTTATTTTAATTACTGTTATATAATTCAGGCTCTCCAAAATGAGATAATATATATTTCACGACCTAATGACAAGAAGAAGATTGTTTTCTATAATGATAAAACAGCTGCATTGCCAGTGGATGAAGAGTTTCAGAAGCTGTGGCGTTCAGTAGCTGTTGAAAGCATGGATGATCAAAAAATTGAGGAATATTTAGAAAAGCAGGTCAGTAATGTTTTCTGTACTGGTTGAAAAGGCCCGTTGAAATTCAACTGGGAATTATTTATTAAGTATCTTCACCCCTTATTTCTTTTAATCCCATTCTTTTATATCTTTTATACTTTTATCTCCACCTCTTGTTTCTCTTACGTTCCTTTTGCGTTACTTTCGACCTATAACAGTATCGACATATATTGTCCATTTTACGTGCTAATTTATGTAATTGTTTTTGTCACTCATATTAGGAGTACTATAACATTTTGTCATCTAGCATCTTTGCTGAGAACCTGTGTGTCTCCTTTCCATATTTTCCCCCTTATGGTGTTTGTGCTTTCGTCCAATAAACTTAGATCATCAGCATTCCCATTCAATTCCAGCCCCTCTTGATTTTGTTGGATGTTCTTAATGCCACATTATAAAGAACAATTAAAAAGCAATTGCAGTAAAGCATCTACTTTTTTGAGACCATGCTGAATAGGAAGTATATAAGACTGATGTTTTTCTACTATAGAATGTATTTAAACACACTTTAATTTACCTAATTAATTTTATGGATGTTCGAGTTAAGTGTTGATACATGTTGTGCTCTCACCAGGGAATTCGCTCTATGCAAGATCATGGGCTTAAGAAACCGGTACTTCACAAACGCAAGAAACCCAATCAGCGTAAGAAGCACCTGAAGAGACCTCGAGATAATGAACATCTAGCTGATGTTTTGGAGACCTATGATGAAAAATGAGATATAAGATATGACATCCCAAATGCTTGAATCCCAGTGGCTCGGTTATTACATGACGAGCTTTCAGCTATTTCTGGGAGCTGTGAGAACACTTGAATATATACTTTGGAGGCTGATCTGTTATTCTGCTGAGAAAATTTGTTGCGTGGATAACGGTTATTAGTGTGAAATCTCGTACTTCTATACCAAAGACGGCATTTGACATCATAACCAATTCGGTGACTTACTGGATGGTTTAAGAAGACACCCGTCTTCTTATTCACCGCCCTGAGAACCTCAAATCCTACTTACTAGATAGTTTGTTAAGTAGTACTGTATTAAGTATTAAAGCTATTTGCAAGTTTACTACGGTAAATTTGTGTACTCCTTTCATCAGACATGTTTAAGAACAAAGCTTGTAACCATTATCTGATGACTCCAAAAATAAAAAAAATTACTAATCGCATTTGAATGTGATAGGATCAGCAACAAAAACTATTATTGTTCTGGAAATATTCTGATATTGATACTGTAATTTTTACACAAGTTTTGAAATGTGCTGCTGTTGCCAGATGTTTGTTTTTTAAAGACGTCATTGATTCATGTAGGTTTTAAAGGGTACCGATGATTGTGTGTTACAATTGAGGTCACTAAATTCTTGAATTGTGTCCATCATCTGCGTTTTTGAGTGGGGAGGGGCACATTTCTGTAAAACCATGAGTAGGCCGGAATGTTGGGCCATTGATGGGAACATAGACATTGATAAGGAATAAAGTGAAATGTGTTCTGTCTGTGACTAAGTTAATGTGTTTCTGTTAGACTTAACCGTCTGGATGGAAGTGGGGTATGGTTGGTAATGAATGGCTTGATTCACTTAGGCTCAGGAAATTATGTAAATAAGTGCACTCCCATTAGTGAATTTTAATTCAAATTGCAGATGTTTATTGCATATTGATAAGATGTGTGTCGTCATAAGTTATTTTCAGAAAGATGTGGAATGTGCATGAGTAAAATTACAGAACTATTCCACCATCTACAGGATAATGATCTACACAAGTGTGAGCTGTGACCAATTGCCTGTTTGCTGTATTTATGTAAATGTCACATGCCCCCAATTAAGACACCCAACCCAATTTCTTATAGCTTTTTTTAAGATACCAACTAATTTAATTTAATACTAAAGACCAAAATGTAATAAATTATATTATTTGTAATATGAATCCCTGTGATGACATTGATCAGATGATAGGGCCATTAGATTGAAGGCTGAGTGGGCCCCAGGGTTGGCCTGGGAACGATGACAGAGAAAAGTCTCCGGCTTTACTACGAATTAAATTGCAGTTTTAAACCCTTAACCTAAGAAATGGGACAGAATAAGACCAGAGTTATTTATAGTACACATGATCACGCGCACAGCGTTGCTATCAGTCTTCGAATGAAACGCCATAGAGTAGTGTGGAACACTATTCTGTGGCGTCGCCACTTCATGA